TTCAGCGTCATCCCGAGCACATTTACCAGATGTGTTTAGTGACATTGATATGTCTAATCCACTAGAAGTATTTACTGAACTGTTAGTTTCTCTAGCAAAAGAATTTGTTGCCTGATCCATCACAGGTTGAACAAAACTTTCATCAGATGAAGTGTTTGATGGTACGTAAGACGCATCCTCATTATGAAGAAATGTTGTAATGTTGTCTTGCACAGTTTTATTATTATTAAGATATGCTAAAAAGAGAAAAAAAAACGGATATTAAATATCACAAAAATTAATGCTAATTACTGCACGAATTTTTGGATGCGATTTCTCGCTTCTGACGTCATTAAACAAAGACGGTTACAATGAATATCTTGAAACTTTAAAGAGACACTGAACTCCGATATAACTGCTTTCGAAGTTTACTCTTTTTATTGGTTGCATAGAATGGCAATGCTTTTACAGTATGGAAGTACAAACGCTAATGAATGGAAGACTGCCCAATGTTATATAAAACTCAACAAAAGAGTTTCATATAACATTAAGTAGTCTTCCATTCATTAGCGTTTGTACTTCCATACTGTAAAAGCATTGCCATTCTAAGCAACCAATAAAAAGAGTAAACTTCGAAAGCAGTTATATCGGAGTTCAGTGTCTCTTTAAAGTTTCAAGATATTCATTGTAACCGTCTTTGTTTAATGACGTCAGAAGCGAGAAATCGCATCCAAAAATTCGTGCAGTATACATTGAAAAAAGTACATATCTATAAAACGATATTGCGATCGATTCAACAAATTTGTGAAATGCTCCGAAAACTTTTTTTACTGTGATAATCAATAAATAGCCGTAAAATTAATGTAACATTATCATAAATCATGAAAAAAAATAATTAAAACATAAGTTGCATGTTATACTAATTTTACGACTATTTATTGATTCTTATAGAAAATGAAAGTGTTTGGAGCATTTTATAAATTTACTGAGCCGATCACAAGTATCGTTTTATGGATACATCTTTTTATTTCAATGTATACGGCAAGAAGTTTTAGCATGCAATTTTTTGTTTCTGACGTTATCAAACAATGACAGTTGCGATGAACCCAGAACCCTCAATTAATAATTAAATAAGCATTTCAATTACATTAAAAGAAGGTGATTTATGAATAAGTTATTTTTTATATTAAAACAACAGAGAGTAAATATTGCAAATATTGAATAAATATTGCAAGATCGCATCTTCTTTAGATAACCAAACTTACGCAGACAGATTCTGAGCATACCCAGACAGCACAAGGATGTCCTTAGGGCGTCCAAAGGGCATCCAGGACATACATGTAGGATATCCTGAGGATATCCTATTTTAATCCTCGGATCTCCTCTGGATGTCCTGAGGAAGAGTAAATGATAGCCGTACACTAGCCTCTGGAGAATCCAGGGAGATCCTGTGGAACATCTTAAGGATTTCTATAGGATATGTTAGGGATATTTTTCATACGTTAAAAGGAACAAATTCTAAAATTTAAATATAAATTAAGATTGCGTTCTATTATTTACTGCCAATACTAAAAATCTAATACTAAAAATAGTTCACGTTCTTTAAAATTTGACGTTTTCGTGCTGTACATGAATATTTTAGGTTTGGCTTCCGGGTTTGAGTCGTGTAATAATTTCAAAACAATCCAATATCTGAATTCCCTATGTTAAGATTGCATCAGAAATTGAACTGATAAAAAATAATTATATTTTTAATTTCCTGTTAGTTGCTCTTTGCAAGCTTTATATAATTCTCATGACCAAATCTCAAATACGAGTTCGCGCGTCGCATAGCGGTAAACAAACGAACTAGCGGTTGAATACTATTTTTTGTAAAGTTTTTGGAATGTTGCGCATAGTAACATTTCTCATGAAATATTAAATAAATAATAATTTTGAATATATGAAAATGTGCGCATCAAATTCAATTATTAATATTAAACGAAATTAATGTTAACAATTAATTGCACATGTATATATCCTCTGGAAATCCAAAGGACATCCAATATAATAGACAGGGCAGATATCCTACAGACATCCAGGGGTTATCCAGGGGACATTTATAGGACATTAATACTTATTACAATACTTAAAATTTCTAAATTATATTAAATAGCCTACATAACCGAAAGTAATCATGTATGCATATTAAATTTTCATAAAATATATTTATAATAATATCTTAAAACATCCTACAAATATCCTGAACCATCCTGGACATATTCAGGATGAACCTGAGGACATTTTGTGCTGTCTGGGTCACTATGTAGAAAAAGCAAAATCTCGCAAGCTTACAAATATATGTTTAATACTACAAACACAATAATGAGATATTAAAACAGTACCCATACAGCACAGATCATTGCAATTATATTGCAGCAACATTGCAATGTTGCAAATTGCAATGCAACATTACAAAGACATTGCAGAAATATAGAGCCACAAAGTACCAGCACACTTGTAGCAACATGACATTAATATTTCGGAAATATTGCAAAATTCAATTTTTATATAATTTTAATAATAAAATATTATAATAAAATAATTTTTTGCAATATTTCTACATGAAAGATGTTAACGATAAACAATACTAAATGGTTCATTTTATTAAAACATTTTTCTTAAATTGGCTTATATTGCTGCACTGTATGCTTTGCGCAGCACATGTACGCGTTCGCAATTGTGTGCGTGTGTAGTAGGCGCCGGTCTTGCTGCACATATCTGTGATTGTCGTGTATTTCGTGATTAACATTTTTTATTGTTGCGTACGAGAAAAGGTAAGAACTTTTTGATAATATTATGTTTTATTATAGCAACCTATATATATTATGTATTAATTAATCATAATAGAATAGCATGTCCTAAGGTTAATAACCTAGGTTAATAACCTTAAAATTATTGAGATCGCAAAAGTAAAAATTATATTTATCTATGATATATGTTCGTATATTTTTTATGTGGATATTTTTTGCTTTCTCTAATTTTCTATTTTGCTGTAGATATGAACTTTAAAATATTTGATAAAAATATTTATGTATATTTGCAGTATGTATATTTTTATGCAAATATGAATTTTAACTCCTATTTTATTTTTACAGACATTTAACAAAGGAAAACAATAATGGACAAAATTCAATAAATTATTAATGGTAATAAAAGCGCCGCGTAAAGCTGAACCATTTTTATATATATCTCTAATATAAAAAAAAATATATTTTTATTTCGTGAACATGTTAAGTGCAATAATATGTTATGTGCAATGTTATGTTATTTATAACGTTAACATAAGTACAAATAAAGACATTTAATTACAATGTATCGTCAATAATTACACATTTATATACCCAAAAATAAATATATATACATCATTGCAAATTCATTACATTGCAATATTGCTACAATATTTTGATGCAATATTCCTAAAAGCGGACATTTTATCATTGCTGCAATTCCACAGCAATGATACAGCAACATTTTGCAGTGAATTTGCAAAGTTGCAATATTGCGGTGAAAGATTGCTACAATATGTATGCAATCTTTGTGTGCTGTATGGGATCCAATCGAATTCGCTATTAGCAAATGATAATAAATTCGCGAATCTCTGCAGTGTAAATAGTCGAGTAAGAGCACATAAAAGCGTCTCGACGGAGACGCGCAGTATAGGAACGCAACGGCAGAGAAAGGTTTCGTTTGCGCAGACACGCGCGCGAAATTTGCGGGAGAGTGAATTTTTATCGCGACGTCGTAACGAGCGATGACATATCGGATGCGGCATTAGATTGCGCGCGATAATGTTCGGCGGTTATGTGTCTCTTTCGTGCGTTTTCCGAGCGATAAAGTCAAGCGCGAGACTCGCTCGCGAGAATCCTCCGACGTGACGGAGATAAAAGCGCGATCGTGCCGGGCGATTGTGACCTCCGGAGCGTTTCCAAATTTCAGAAACAACCTTGGATACACGATGTTAAAGTTTTTCGGTCGGCTGACTCAGAGTGCCGTCCTCGGAATCGAAGAACGTGACACAATCGTCTTCTCGGAGCTCGTCGCGCGATCAGGACTGACTCGAGACAAATCCGGGGCCCTGACTTTACGGAACGATCGGCACATTTTAAAGAAAGGAGAGACGTAGGGAATAGAGTGAAGAAATCGGGTCAGGGCTGTTCTTTTTCCAAATCCGAGCTATGCATGCTTCGATAGTTTTTTTTTTTTTGATAAAAATACAGATAGTAGATTAGTTCAAGAATAATATTTTTTATAGCGAAGGCGTTATCAGCTTATAAATGTAAAAAAAAAGTGATTAATATAAACTTTAATGCAACTATCTTAGACAGAAATTTCAAAAATCATTAGACATACGTTTTATTAATCTCTTTTTAATTATCTATATGTATACGTTTTACTATATATTTTTCAATTTCTTCAAGACTGCCGCATAAACTTTAATTACGGACGTTAATGATTCGCATTAATTAACGAGCGTGACGTATATGTCAGCAATATCGAATTAAAATTCGATTTTAGAATAACATCGTCTGAAAGATTGTCTAAATGGCCGCTCGGAGAGACGCACTCTTTCAAACTAATCATCTCTAGTCCCTTATATATATTTGATATTCCTTTAAAATTAATAAAATTAATATGAAGTCATGTAGTAAAATAGTACTCACACATATAAATGCACGATAATTATGGCATCGACGCATTCTTATTATGGAAACAATCTTTCAAACTAATCATCTCTAGTCCCTTATATATATTTGATATTCCTTATCAAAAGATAAAATTAATATGAAGTCATGTAGTAAAATAGTACTCACACATATAAATGCACGATAATTATGGCATCGACGCATTCTTATTCTTGAAATGATGGAAACAATATAAAATAGAATGAGATATATGTATAATAGCGCAAATAAAATATAAAAAAATAGAAATTGTAATAATATAACGACCAAACTTGAAAAATATAGAAAAGAAGAATATACAAGTGATAAATAGCATTTTATTTTTATTGCACAATTCAAACATTGTCGTGGAGATATCTGTAAATGTGTTAAAAAATATAAAAGTATAAAAATATTAATTTTTCATTAAAATGACAGCCATACATAAACTGTCGTGTGGAATTGTGTATGTAAATCTGGGTGTCACAAAAAAAGTGTCCATTAATCATTGACAGACTGATAGCTCATTAATGCACTATCTTCTCTTATATCTTCTTCCTTAATAACGTAGTAACACTACAATTATTTCCAAAGAACTGGTTCCAAGATCCATTGTTGATTAAGATTTTTAGTACAAACCGCTACTACAAGCGTATCATCGTCCATTGCCTGAAGACACATTTCGGAAGGCATGTGCAAAAATACTCTCATCTAAAAATAATCGTCACATTGACAATGCAAAATCTGTATTAAGAGTACATATTATTATAGCCGATATTTCACCAGAGATATCCTACTTGTTCATCGTATTGCCATTTTTGTCTTTCGCGACCGCTACACGCCATTATTTTCACTTTCGGCATCCTCTGCTGCGTATCTCGTTCTGGTGCATCCAAACATACACTTTCGTCCGTCATTATCACTCCGTTTTTGGTCATCACAAACATCTGGCTGAACATCGGTCGCGGTATGCAGGAGTGTAGAACCGCATTCCCTGAAGGTTGCGCGTACGAACTTTTCGCGGTCGGTCGCATGATGCATCTCTTTGTTGCGGCGTGCACTATCTGACATGAATATGATTATGATGACTGACTGATCATACTTTCTGATATAAAGAAAGAGAATGCTAGATTTAAAAATGAGCATTACCCTGCCGAAGAATCGATCGTCCGTAGGAAAAAAGTGTTCGGGCCACACATTCTCCAAGTACCATTCAAAACTTTTACACTGTAGTTTCTCACGTAAAGCTAATCTCGAACGAACCTGCTGCTTGTATCTCAATCTAGCTGCCTCTAATAAAATAGGAGGTATAAGAATCCATAAAATCAGAGAGCTATTTCTATGCGTCTATAAAATAAATTTGTGCTTGTAATGGAATTATAAGAATATATAATTTCATTTACCAGGATTGAACTTGAAATAAAACTCCGCCCATTGATCCATCCACACTATAGCGACTCTGGCAAGGTTGCCGTATAAGATATCACCGACGCCGCCCGGGAAAGTATAAGGAGAAGATTTTCGGAAGAGATGCCCGACGTGGGAGCAAGGAGCAATTTCAATACTGCCTCCGCATTGCCATATTCGAAATGACAGTTCCAAATTCTCGCCACCCCAGATTCGCATCTCATCATCGTAACTGCCCAATTTAAAGAAATAATCCTTGTTGATAGAAAATAACCCGCCTGCCATGGCGGGCGTTCGAAATGGTTCGACTATGTTGTCGCGCCGTTCCTTCAGCAGACGGCCATTTAATGTTAGCCAACGAAAATGTAAATCCCAGTTAAATGCACCCCAATGGAGCTCAAACGATCTACGAAATTATTAAAATTCTTAGACTATATTTATTGAAAAATAAATAAATAAAAAAAACAAAGTCTTGACAAAATTACAATCAAAATATTGCAGTTTATTAATAAGTGCAAATAAATACATATAATTTTACCTTGTATAACTAAAAGTATCATCGTTTATTATGTCAATTACTGGAGAGACGACTCTTGTCGCGTTTTTACCAACTGCTTCAAGCAATGGTTCCAACCATCCTGCAAATATTGCATCCAATACTATATGTAGTATAGCGAAAGTTTTGTTTTTGGTATTAGCGTAATATAATGAAGCTTACCTACCAACCGTACATTCACAGTGAGCATCGAGAAAAGTGAGAACTTCGCCTTTAGCATCATTTGCTCCCAAAAGCCTCGCTTTTATTAATCCTATCCGTTCTTTGGATCGCAAAACTCTTGTAGGAACACTTAGAGTTTTTATGTAACCATCCAAGGGACTTTTCAAAAATTCTAGTAATAGATAATATAAAATAATAATGTAATAAAAATATATAAACTCACATAAA